GCCTGGGCCCAGGAGGTAAAAGCAAGCTGTGGAAACCAAGTGTTAGGGCTTATAAAATTTAAACTTGACACAGCCGCTGATGTAACCATGATTCCAGTAGGAGTTCTTGGCGATTTTATTAAGACTCTGCCTCTGGGAAAGTGCAAATCCCCTGTGTTCAGTGCAAAGAAGAAAGAACGAATCAATATTTTGGGAACTTTAAGGCTGAAGCTTGAACATAAGGGTGTATCGGTTTATGATCATGCGTATATTTCTGAGGAGATCACTGTTCCCCTTCTTAGCAGACGTTCCTGTGAAGAGCTGAACCTGGTGAAGAGGATCTTTTCTGTAGATTCATCAGATATTGACTGGGTTACTAAGTACCCTAATTTATTTCAAGGATTGGGAAATATGAAAGGAGAGTACAAGATAGAAATGAAGGAGAATGCAGTTCCTTATGCTATATCTACCCCCAGGGTTGTACCAATACCTTTAAAAAGCAAGGTGAAAGAACAGTTAGACGATATGCTTGAGAAAGGAGTGATTGTCCCAGTTGAACACGCGACTGATTGGTGCGCACCAATGGTAGTTTGTGCAAAAAAGGGAGGTGGGGTTAGGATCTGCGTAGACCTATCCAAACTCAACAACAGTGTGAAACGTCGGGTTTATCCTATTCCAAAGATCGAACTTTCATTGTCCGAGATCGCGGGAGCCAAGTACTTCAGCAAGATCGATGCGAATTCCGGTTTCTGGCAACTGAACCTTGCAGAAGAATCACAACACTACACAACATTTATCACCCCTTTCGGGAGGTATAAATTCTGTAAGTTACCTTTTGGAATTACATCCGCTCATGACGAGTTTCAGCACCGTATGTCAAAAGCTTTAGAAGGGGCAAAGAACTGTTTGGTGCACATTGATGACTGTTTGATATGGGGAAGAACGAAAGAGGAACACGACGAGTGTCTTAGAGCCGTTCTAGAGAGAGTGCAAGCTAATGGAATCACTTTGAATAAGCAGAAGTCTGAGTTCTGCAAGAAGTCTGTGACATTTTTGGGGTTTGTGCTGTCTAAGGAAGGAATCAAGCCTGATCCAAGCAAGGTACAAGCAGTTGTGGACTTACCATCCCCAAGTAATGCTAATGAAGTCCAAAGATTCATGGGCATGATCACTTTTCTGGCTAAATTTATTCCGAACTGCAGTGAGATTTTAGAGCCAATTACAAGCTTGTTAAAGACTAAAAACGATTTCTTTTGGGGACCAACTCAGGAAAAAGCTTTTGTCACAGTTAAACAGATTTTATCATCAGAGCCATGTTTGACTGTTTACGATCCGGAAAAGCCCTCGATTCTTTCTTGTGATGCTTCAAAAAAAGGTCTTGGAGCGGTTTTACTACAAGTTGAAGGAGAAAACAAGAAACCTGTGGCATATATATCTCGGACTCTAACGCCTGCTGAAGAAAACTACAGTAACATTGAGAGAGAAGCGCTTGCGTGCACATGGGCAAGTGACCGTTTTAAATGTTTCCTGATGGGTAAAATGTACACAATTGAGAGTGACCACAAACCGTTTGTCTCAATTTTCAAAAGACCAAATTTAGACGAGCTCTCACCGAGGCTACAGCGATTCCGAATGCGTATGATGAGATACGATTATCGCATGACCTGGACCCCAGGAAAAGACCTTGCCATAGCAGATCTGCTATCGAGAAGTCCTATTCCGTCTAATGAAGATGGCGAATTGACAGAAGAAGTGGAAGCCTTCGTCCATGAAATCAGTCTGATTAGTATAAACACTACAGACGAAAATGTGACAAAAGTACTTCACTCACAAATGAGGGATCCAATATGTGCACAACTTAGGTTAAAAATTTTAGACGAATGGCCTGGAAAATCAAGTTTACCTAATGAGATTCAAGAATACTTTAACGTGAAAGACGAGTTAAGTTGTATTGATGGGTTATTGCTTCGAGGAACTCGGATGATAATACCTCAGGAACTACGAGCGGAAATGTTCGAGAGGCTTCACAGTGGACACTTGGGAATCACAAAAACAAGGAAACGTGCTTTGGGAACCATGTGGTGGCCTGGAATTTCTCAAGAAATAGAAAGAAAAATCAAATCGTGTCCAGTGTGTATTCGGAACTCAACTAATCACAGTGAACCATTGATTCCAGAACTTATGTTTGGAAGGAAAATAAGAGACAATCTTCCACCTACTTTGATTGGAAATCCTGTGGAAAATAAAGACTTTTTTGAGAGGGAGAATAAGTACCAGTCGAAATATAAGATGCAATTTGATAAACGACATGGAGTGAGTGGTTTAAGTGAATTAGAAGCTGGAAGCATGGTATGGATCACAGATCTACGTAGACATGGTAAAGTAGTCAGGAAATTGAACGAACCACGTTCCTACCTTGTGGACACTGACAAGAAAACCATTCGACGAAACCAGAAGTTCTTAGTTCCTGCACCATACTACGGAGAAGATTGCATTCTTTCAAACTGTTCATCTACGGTCCTTAATTGTCCATCTAACTCACGTGATCGTCCAGGCGCTGGCACAGTTACCCGTTGCGGAAGGTCCATCAAGAAACCGAGGCGGTACCGAGCTTCATGAAGATGTAGACATCTTGAGGCGGGATGTTGTATTAAGTCTTTTCTTTTAGTCATATGATTTATTTGTGTTTAAAATCTTTTGTTGACAGATGATTTTTGTAAACATGTTTTTGTAAACATTGGTTTAGTTTTGAAATAGAGTGTGTTGAAACAAGATGTGTGTTTAATATTCTTGGATTAGAAATAGAACATATAGGCTAAAACATAAGGAACATTAAAAAAAAAAAAAAAACTTTTAGGTAAAAAAAATATAATTTCGAAAATTTTCAAAAAAAAAATAAGTTCGCGCTCAATGAAATTGTATAAATTATAGGCCTATAAATATTTGAAAATAGCCACTTTGTTCTAAATTTTATGAGGATTACAAATATATAATAATATAAGGAAGTAGATTTGCAAATAAATAAGTTATGGGCAAAAAAATGATTTCAGTACATAGCGTTTAGCTAAGAATGCATAGCCTAACCATAGCTAGGAATCTGGCTGATAATTTACATCAATAGCCTATCACTACCTACTTCTTCAGGATCATCAACCAGCACTTCAAAACCACTTAAATCTTCTTATAATGCACCACGTATATCACTACTTTTGATTTTTAACACTAAAACAATGATAAACGTAATAAAACACATCAGTCATCGGTCCGAGGGTAACCTAGCTGTTTACAAATACACGCACGTCAGCAGCGTCAGCTGTCTACTACAATATTTTCGGAACTAAAATGAATAGCGCTTAGAGACAGACCTCTGCAGAAAGCTTAGAATATTACGGAAAGAACGATACCTAACTCGATCCAGTTCAATCCGATTCAGTCAGTCATAGAGCCTTCGCCGTAAACGATGTCTGCGTGTCGAAAAATCGACAAGTAACACTACACAAAGTGTGCTGCTTGTCGAATTTTCGTCAAGTAACACTGGGAGGGTTAATCGATATTTTCAATTCGATAGTTTCAATCGATATTAGCATACGGTAGCCCAGTTAAGAAACTGTACCCTTCAACTAACTAATCGCTGTGCGACTATCACTACAGTCGCTCCAAGCAAAATAGACCTTTAGCTAGGCTATGAAGAGTTTGTAATAACCCAGCAATAATAGTTTTATGATTAAGTAAAGGTTGATAACTTTGCTTTTTTGGGGTTAGTTACCTAGGCTACCTAAGTTAAAAAGTAAAAGCCTCTACAGACATACCTGAAATAAATCTGATGGTATCTAGGAGAATACAAGTAGCCTAGGCCTAGTTGTCCTTTTGTAAGATGAATAACGACTGGATCTATATTGAGTGTTCACAAACATAACTTGATAGGCTTGACCTTAAAATTCTTGACTTGACACTGACCTTAATAAATGATTGTGGTGGGTTGCAGAATAAAAAAAAAATAGGTTTATGTGTGATCGATCTTCATGTTGACATTTAAACATTTAAACATGACATTTAAACATGTTTATGACATTTAAACATGACATAAACAAACAGAAACAGCAACAGTAGAGCAGACCAGCGAGCAAACATCAACATTCAACATCAAACATCCAGTGTTTCCTTTCCACACGACCAAAAAAATAATCCCGCTTACTGAGTCGAAAAATCCCGTTTTATCCCGCTTTTAAATCGGTGAAAAATCCCGTTTTATCCCGCATGATTTTTTTGGTTCAATTCCTAGCATTAAACTTTACGTATCATTTTTATAAGTTGTTTAAACATCACTATTATATTTTGCTACATTATTTAAACAATTTGAGTTAGTTTTTTCTCTAAAATTGAGTAGAAAAAAAATAAATAGTCGTCACAGCCGAAAATCCCGTTTTATCCCGCATCCCGTTTTAATCCCGCTCAAGGTCTAAAAATCCCGTTTTCGGGATAATAATCCCGCGAATGGAAACACTGCGAAACATCATCTGCTCATTTTTCATTTTTATTTTTGTAATTTGTTTTGCTAGAGTTTTGCTGGTCTAGTTTCCCATAACCTTTTCTGGGCTAGGCAACTGCTACGATCAAGAGTATATCCATGAAACTGTGATACTGAACTGAGGTGCTAACTTATTCAGATGTTTCCCACTCTTTGCTGAAGCGGAGGCTATTAGCATAGTCAGTGTTATTAGTTTCACCTCTTAAATCTATGTGATTTAAAGTTTAGTATCTTAACTTCATTATTCAGAATACAAACCTCTTGCGGAGATTTATAATCAATGGTTCCATGGAGCTGTGAGTGTAGAGCCAGCCAAAGCTAAGAAAAAGAAATAAACACTCACCTCCACCTCCTCACACACACTCTTTACAGGAGATTGGTATGACTATGACAGACGACAAGACGAAATACATGCATGAGACAAAACAGAAGTCAGAACTACCTTCACACTTCAAGGAAACCTAATATAACACTGTTGTACGCACTTTATTACTTACTTTAGTTTTAGTTTAGCCTAACATGTTCCAAGAGAATTATTAGGGTGTGAATTAACAGAAAAAATACATAGTACAGTAGATTTGTTCAGTTTATTTGTCTATAAGCATTAGGCCTAAATTGAGATTATATATTTTTCTAGTGAAATTGGAAGGCACTCAATCAATTTTAACACCTTTAAATTGTACACTGAATCTAGATATGCGAGTACTTAGGTAAGTGATAAGTTACAAAAAATTACTGTTCTGTTTAAGACACGGCTTAATATAGGTTAACATTTCAATATTTTCTGTGGAATAGGCTAACTTACCTCTTTAAAAGTTAAATTTGTAAGGCCTATCCTAGATCATCGAACTTATTATCCCTTCGTCTGTCGCACCTATTTTTTAATGTGACTTGTCACTACCGGTACATTGGTATCCATCAGATAACTTAACTTAGCCTACATTTTTCCTTAAACATTTTTTTTGAGTAATTACCGTAGTTGATACTTATGTCTACAACATGATATCATGTAATTTTTAGTTGTCTACTTACAGTATTTTTCATGCTGAATCCAAAAATGCAATCAGTTTTTGTCGGAGAGATTCCTAACTTAAGTAAGTGGTTGTACAGTTAATATTTAATATAATCAGTTGGGGTACATTTGAACAACATGCTTACCAGAGGAAAACATGGTGTTCAAATGTACAATCCTGTCCAAATCCACCCCACACTTGGCACCATCTTACAAAAAGTTAAATTATGTTTTCTTGAATTGTAATTTATCAATGTGAAGTGCATAATTGTATCTAAATATGTATAAGCCATAAGGTAAATGGATCAAACTTATCTGTAATGTAGTTTTTCTGCTGCTAAAAAAGTTTTCTTGTGGCGCTCTAAAACTTCTTTTCCCAACAACAAACTAAGAACTGATCAGAAAATGGAGGAAGATGAATGCAACCTATTGTCCTATTTGAGGGCTACATTTTACAGCTGGTTAATGGCCTGCGAGTATAAAAATGACGGCAAATTTAAACCGTTCAAATGTGCCCCATGTTCAAATGTGCCCCACTCTCCCCATCAGTACCGCTCAAATAACCTTAGATTCGTAATTTTAACCTTCGTTTTACGGCCACTTAGGAATCTCTCCGACAAAAACTGATTGCATTTTTGGATTCAGCGTGAAAAAAACTGTAAGTAGACATCTAAAAATTACAGGATGTCACGTTGTAGATATATAATTTTTTGTAATACTTTTGTCATAAATAGGCTATATTTTCCCCCTAAATTTTGTTTACTTTAACAACCCTTTAGGGCCGACCTATAGATTTCATACATATTTCACAGGGTCTAAGCATTTCTCAATTTAAAAAAAATTTCAGACCATAAGTGTTTCCATTAGATACAGTGTGACCATGCCCGTCACACTGTATGTTAAATTAAATTCAATGGTTTCTTTGAAATATAACATAGATCACATAAAAACGAGACCGGTCCCGTTTTTATTTTGAGATAACTTTTCGGTAGATACATCACAAAATAAAACCAGGACAGTCGCACTGTATCTATCAGATACAACGGAGCAAAACAAGGCATTTGTGCACAGGACAACGCTAAGCTAACAGCGATACTGATAAGTGTGTGGGGAGGGGAGGAATCAGCACAGTGGCCAAGACCAGTTTGAACTCTTGGTAAATATGATGGAGACGTTAACTTTTTACTGATTAACTTACACCTATGTTAAAATATTATTCCCCATCCAAGGCCTTGTTATTTTTCTAATTAGTTCACTTACTCGCTTTATTTCAGGTAAATGTCAGCACTCTAGGCGATATCATGGAAAATAAATATTCAGTTTCTGAGTTACTGCAATAAGGAGATGGTAAGTTTTGACATAGGCCTAGTTACAAGTTTATATGGTAGGACCCAAATACAATAACTTAATCCCCTGATCAACAGAAATGGGGAGGGCAGAAAATCTCTTTTTTTGTTAGTTCATGATTGGAATTTAAAGGCTATTTTGGTTAAAAGAGATTGAAAACAAATTTTTTAGGTTATTTTAATAACTGCCGTCTAAATTATCTTTATAAAATCTACTAAGCTTATTGTATAGGCCTACCCATAAATCAATTTCTTTAAATAACCAACAATCATTTTCTGAACTTTATCGTCACCGATTCTGCAAGCTGCCTTATATTTCTAAATACAGTTGAACCTCTATAAGACAAATTTCAAGGGGTACGGCAAAAATTCGTACTATAGAGGTAGTCTTAATAAAGAGGGTCGTTTTATCAAGGTTTAATGCTGCTGTTATTCTTATAGAGGTTTCTCCTTGCTCTAAGGTTTCTCCAAACAATGACTGAGAAAGGAGGAGGGATGGGTGGGGGTTTCATGTTGAGACAAGCTTCTGTTTGTTTTGAAAACTACATACTATGGAGGTTAAGATTATGAGAAATTTGTCTTATAGAGGTCACGTTCGTCTTTTAGAGGTTTTGTGCTAAGAATATTCGTTGTATAGAGGTTAATCAGTCCTAGCCCATGTCACAAACAAATTCGTCTTATGGAGGTTTTTAACTTAATTACTACGTAGTATAGAGGTGTTTTTAGCATTGACCTATATGAAAGTTTCAAGGGGATTAAAAAAAATTTGTCTTATCGAGGAATTTGTTTTATTGAGGTTCGTACTACAAACAAGGTTCGACTGTACTTTTTTCCTAATTGAAATGACGACCATTCAAAGGTAGGTATTTTATTCAAGCAAAGTATGAATGTGTGGCTGTACCTAACCATCTGTCAGTATTCAATTGATTTGAACTTAAAACACATGTTAGCAATTATTGTTAACTAATATTTACTTTTGTTGTTTACCTTTTTCTTTCTTTTGATCTTGTACTTTTTGTCCAGACAATAAATCCTCTAAAATACTAATTATATTATTTTATTAATCATTGTACATCATCATTAACCACACTGGTGACCAACGACGTGATAATTGAAGCAACATAAAAGTAAACCCTTCAAGGACAGGACAGCATCTCCAAGAAACCTCAACTTTCGTCAGTCAGAACAAAACCAGGTTAGTTTAGACCTAAAAATGTCAGACACTGAAGAAAATGTCACTGATCCCAATTTACCAACCAATTCAAATAATCTCTCGAAATTAACAGTCAAAATTCCGCCCTTTTGGAGGAAAAATGTCAAGGTCTGGTTACGTCAAGTTGAGGCACAATTCATTGTAAAAAATATCACTCAAGAACGAACAAAATATTACCACATTCTTGGAAATCTTGATACCGATGTTGCCGAATTGCTTTCAGATCTTTTAGAGAAACCACTTAGCCAAACACCTTATCAAGACCTTTGTAATCGCCTGATCTCTGAATTCGAAGAATCAGAGAGCAGAAAATTCACTAAACTGGTTGACGAACTAGAAATTGGTTCGAAAAAACCTTCCCAGTTTCTTAGAGAAATGCGTACTCTTGCAGGTTCCCAAGTTAAAGACGATTTCCTAAAAACATTATTTTTTAAACGTCTTCCCCCTCAGATCAGCTCAATATTAGCATCTAGCTCCGACTCTCTAGACAATCTAGCAACCATGGCTGATAAAATCATGGAGTACTCTCCCACTCATTCTCAGCACATGTATTCCTTGAAAGGTGAAACATCAACAAGCTCACAACCTGATAGATTATCTCGCCTAGAAAACCAAATCACCGAACTAACCAACCAAATTTCATCTTTACGCTCCCGTTCGAAATCTGGTTCTCGACTTTACCAATATCAGAACCGTGACGCAACTCCTCAACGTAATAAATCTGTCTGCTGGTACCATAGAAACTTCGGTAAAAACGCTACAAGATGCACAACTCCATGCAACTACCATTCTTCCCCGTCCAAAAATTCGGAAAACTAACTCAGCACTATCTTGATTCGGCGGGAGATAGCGCAAAACATCAACCTCGCCGTCTTTTTGTTTACGATCGGCTGACTAATACAAAATTTCTTGTTGATTCAGGTGCTGACATTTCTGTGTTACCTGCACATAGCAAACAAAAGCCAAAACCATCTGCCAAATTACTTTATGCAGCTAATGGTTCAAATATCCCCACGTTTGGCGAGAAACTTTTACAACTTGACCTAGGTCTCCGCAGATCATTTTGTTGGCCTTTCACTATTGCAGACGTCCAACAACCAATAATTGGTGCAGACTTCCTAGCAGAATTCGGCCTTTTAATTGACATCAAAAATAAAAAGTTAATAGACAACAAAACGAACCTCTTTCAATGTGGCTCAACACGATCACCGTCAGTATCTTCTGAGATTTATCTGATTGACCCAAATAGTAAATACTCACACCTATTACATGAATTTCCTGAATTACTGAAAGACATACCTGGACATAAAACACCAGACATTGAATTCTTCCATACAATCAGTACCAATGGACCACCTGTTACCTCTAAAGCCAGACGGTTAGCTTCTGACAAACTCTCTCAGGCTAAATTAGAGTTTCAGAAAATGATTGATTTAGGTATCTGTAGACCTTCTTAGAGTTCTTGGTCAAGTCCGTTGCACATGGTACCAAAGAAGGACGGCACCTGGAGACCATGCGGTGACTACCGAGCTCTTAACTACATTACCGTTCTGGATAAGTATCCGATACCTAATGTACAAGACTTCAACTCACAGCTTGAAGGCAAGACAATATTTTCTAAAATAGATCTTGTCAAAGCCTACCACCACATTCCTGTTCATCCAGATGACGTACCTAAAACAGCTGTTATTACTCCTTTTGGTTTGTTTGAGTTTTTACGCATGCCATTTGGATTAAAGAACGCAGGTCAAACCTTCCAACGCTTCATTCACCATGTTTTACGAGACCTTACGTTTGCATATTCGTATCTGGATGACATCTTAATTGCTTCTGAGTCTGAACAGGAACACGAGCAACATGTTCACCTTCTTTTTGAATGTCTATCCAAACACGGCCTCTGCATTAACGCATCAAAATGTGAGTTTTCTGTCTCAGAGATTTCATTCCTAGGCTATCGAATCAACAAAAGTGGAATATTTCCATTACCTGAACGTGTTCAAACGATACTAAACTATCCTCTTCCTGACACAGTTGATCAACTGAGACGATTTTTAGGAATCGTTAACTTCTATAGGAGATCACTACCAAACTCAGCAACAACACAAAAGACCCTGTACGACCTTTGTTCATCGCCCAAACGAAAGGACAAAAGCAAAATACAATGGAACGATAGCGCCAAAGAGTCTTTCAACAGGTTGAAAACAGAACTGGCTAATGCTACTCTGATTTACCATCCTTCCAGCAATCTTCCCATCATCCTCTCAGTTGACGCTTCAAATTTCGCGATCAGGGCTTCTGTCCAGCAAATGAGAGGAAATACTCCAGAACCAATAGGTTTCTTTTCTAAAATCCTCACTAAAACTCAACAGAACTATAGCACTTATGACCGTGAACTTCTGGCCGCATATGAAGCAGTCAAGTACTTCAAACATTGCCTAGAAGGCCGTCACTTTACTATTCTGACGGATCACAAGCCTCTCAGCTACGCATTTGAACAGCGCCCTGAAAAGGCGACCCCTAGGCAGCAAAGACATCTTGACTACATTAGTCAATTCACTACTGATATCCGTTACATTCCCGGAAAACAAAATTTTTCTGCAGATGCATGCTCTAGGATTACAGAAATTGAACTGTCATCAACTGTATCACTTACAGACATCGCTCATGCTCAAGAAGTATGTAATGAACTCAAACACATCCAACAATCCAACTTATCATCATTTACATTCAAAACTATGATTCTTGATAATGGACTTCAATTGATTTGCGATTCTTCGACTGGAACTCTACGACCTTTCATCCCTCATGCCTACCGAAGACCTCTCTATGACTCCATTCATAATCTATCTCACCCTGGAATTGCCGCATCAGTCAAACTACTTCAAGAGAGATTCTGCTGGCCTTCGCTGAAACGTGATGTTTCATTGTGGGCCAAAACTTGTATTCCTTGCCAACGCTGTAAAACATGGCGGCACACTTCTAGTGAACTAGGTGCCTACCCTACTGCCGAAAAACGATTCTCTCATTTGAATGTTGATATTGTTGGACCCTTACCTCCTTCAAGAGGATATCAGTAGCTGTTAACCATCATCGATAGGTTTTCAAGATGGACTGAAGCGATACCAATCTCATGCATCACCGCAGAAGAAGTTTCTTCCACTATTTTGCACTCATGGATATCTCGCTTCGGTGTTCCTCGTTTTATTACTACTGATAGGGGAAGGCAGTTTGATTGTGAATTGTTTTCATCATTGACAGCCATGCTTGGCATAAATCACATAAAAACTACAGCTTACCATCCTGCTGCAAATGGAGCTATTGAAAGGTGGCATCGCTCCTTAAAATCGGCTCTCAAAGCACAACTAACAGCAGACTGGGTTTCCAAACTTCCATCAGTTCTGCTTGGACTTCATTCAAACATAATACCAGAAATAGGAGTTTCACCTGCACAGCTCGTCTACGGAGAACCAATCACCCTCCCTGTTGATTTCTTTGAAGACTCCAAGCTGCCGAATGACATCCCTAAACTACTTGCTCGACTTCAAGACCATGTCAAATCAATTCGTCCTGTACCATTTCGCCATCATCACAAACGATCTATTTTCATCCATCCTGATCTCATGACCTCATCTCATGTCTTTATTCGTCATAACGCAATAAGAAAGCCTCTTCAACCAACATACGAAGGGCCTTTCAAAGTTGTTTCAAGAGGTGACAAGTATTTTAACATATTATTGCCACGGGGTGAAGATACCGTTTCTATTGATCGGCTGAAACCAGCATTTATTCTTCAAAATCATCTTCAACCTACACAGTCTCAGATGGATAAAACAATGGAGTCAGATAATGAACTGGTGAAACAACCTGAAACAGACTCACCACCAACGAGACCTAGAAACATCAAGACTCAACAGCCTGCAGCCCAACCTGGACCTTCTGGACTTGTCCCTGAACGAAAAACCCGCTCGGGACGTGTTGTGAGGTTCTCTTCCAAATACCTCACATGAAACTTTGCGCTGTCACTGGGAGGGGAGTATGTGGCTGTACCTAACCATCTGTCAGTATTCAATTGATTTGAACTTAAAACACATGTTAGCAATTATTGTTAGCAGTAAAATAAAACCAAGCAATAAAACAATATTGCCTAATAAAACGACTAATTGCCTTACAAATAAAAATTGTAGCATTATGGCTATTCTCCTATATTAAATGAGTTACTTTCAAGTCAAACGTTTGCAGGATCTGCAAGATGAGTTTAGCTTCTCCTAGAGCGGTAAAGGCGTTAGCTTTGGTGGTCGTGGTGCTGATAGTACTGCAGTACACGTATACAACGTTCTTTGAATCTCGTTGGATCGAACCTCTCTTCATATTCAACTCGTCTCTGTTGGGGAAGAATCACATCTACGTGTTCCCTGGACACATGATAAACAACAGTGACAAATCCAATGCAAATTCCTCAGAAACTCAGGTTGGTTTTAGGTTTTCATTTAAAGTGTGAAACCGTTTGTATGAATCGGTTCTTTTCTGAATCTATTACCTTTGAGTCAGGACATTGAACTAATCTGAATTAAGCGGGAGTGTTGCACGACGTCCAAGTGCCACGACGTCCAATAATATTTTTCCAGTGCCACGACGTCCAAAACATAATTTTTTAGTTGTTGCACGACGTCCAAGTGCCACGACGTCCAAAAGTACAGTAACTGTCAAAAATATAGTCTTTCTACAAGCTTTGGACGTCATGGCACTTGGACGTCGTGAAACAGCGCACTGTAGAATTGTAAAGAAGTATCATTTGCACCACGTCCAAAGCCTCTGCCAGTTGCACGACGTCCAAGTGCCACGACGTCCAATCAATATTTGACTGTTGCACGACGTCCAAGTGCCACAACGTCCAAAGTGCCTGCACACAGTGAACACTGTTTGCCGACCTCAGTGCATACAGTTCGCATTGCAATTATTGAAATATTAGTTTTGAAGGCAACTAGGCCTAGTCAACTGTTTGAAAGTTATCAACCGCTTCGTCTTCGATTAATTTTTAAATTATTCAATATTCAATGGTTCTAATTGAACTAATTATTGCATTAGCTTAAATTTTTTATATGTAAAATAAATACTATCTCACCGTAAAATTTAATGATGCAGTATTTCTGTTGTTATGATTGCATAATTGATTTCTACAAAATAGAGCTATGTCATAGAAGCGAAATAAATAAATGACTACACTATTCACTATATTGTATGATTAATACAATAAATTAATCACTAGCCCAAAAGTAAATATGGTAGGTATAATGTGAGTAGTTGTAGAATTCTGAGTACTGCAGTAGAATAGAATTGTCATACTATATCAATTGGTAGCAAATTTACTCGTATGATAAAATGTATGCACAGTTTTATAACAGCTGTAAGACTTCCCATTTAAGTACCGGTATCATTGAAATTTTATAACTTCCATTGAACAGAAATGAGATAAGTAGATATCGATACACAGATATATGAATTTTCATACACTTATAATATGACGAATTCAAAAAAGGTTTATCCGTCAAATGTGCTAAATATTATGTAAACTATAACTTATCAACTTTTTAAGCTACAATGATGTTACTACAATGGTCAAAAATGTTTCCTGTGAAACTTGTATTTTTTAAACTAAAAGAAGGTTTTCTTTTAGTACAAACCTTGCTCTATTAGTGCATACGAAAAATAATTTCACTATTTTACGAGATCAATGTTTGACAACAAATGGTTGAAGCAGATATTCAGAGTGTCTCCAGCTGATGCAGTAATAAAAACGTATTTTTGCCATAGCACAGACAATATATAATATATAATAATATATAATCTATCTATCTATCTATACTATTATAAAGAAGAGGTGGTGTCTGTGTGTGTCTGTGTGTCTGTGTGTTTGTATGAGATAGCCTAATCTAAAAAGTACTGAACCGACTGGGCTCAAATTGCACGTAAATGAAGCTACAGCTCCGAGGATACATATTATACAACTATTCCCTCTTCGTTATTGTCCTAGGGCTCTGCCCCGTGGGCTTTCAAAAATTTGAGACGAGAGATTTTAAAATATTGATTGATGGTATCCATGGTAACAAGAGCAAACCTACATAATTTAAAAATGTAAACAACCAGAACTAACTGTCAAATGAATTTTGATTTCACAATTCCACACAGCTGGTTCAAACATATTAAATAATGCACAAATATTAGAACGGAGAGGGTAAGGATTATAAATTTAAAATAATGATGTTAATAGTCCGAATGTAAACATTATTTTACATTACTTAAATGTAGCTGTCAAACCATATGTTAATGTAATTTCATTAGTACTAGAGGTCGTCCAGTGGTCGAAACTCGACCAAAAATTTGTAATGTACAGACTTCTCTATTTTCACCCCACACTGTAAATAAAACATGTGATTGGAGTTTCTTCAATTTGTTTTGATTTTCTGTTTATATTTCGTTGTTATTTCGTCACCAGCATGGAAACCCATAAAGCTCATGTTAATTTTTTTTCAAATTTAAAATTCATTTCTTGTGCTTATTTCTGAGCCTATTTTAATTTTAAAGGGATTCTGCACACCTACAGAAAAATATCTTTCTAACAGTTTGCGAAGATTTTTCCTGCGATGCCCACAAGCTGAGAAAAAGGTTTTAAAGAAACATGCTTGCCTATTAATATATAGAGATATGATTCTTTCAGTTACTTCATTTGTTTATGTTTATGATCTACTAGCTGTACCCGCGGGCTTTGCCCCGTTTAACTTCACAAGTGAGCTCGTTCGCATGGCTCAGTCACGTCCAGGTTGAAGTTCGTTCGCTACGCTCACTCACCTTTTGGTTGCAAATTAAATGAATGATTAAATGAATTTATTTATTTCCATTGAGAACAAACTTATTACATGCATTTTGGCTGTAGTCAAAATTTAAAAAATAATAGTGCTGCACCCTGTTGGTAATCCTTGTAACTTTAATGCTATTGAACATCATAGAACAGAACCAACTTGTTTAATTGAAACAGCTGTTAAGAAGTTCTTTTTGAATATGAAATATCATAAGGTTATCATGGGAAACTCCAGAGCCACTGGGGCGGAGCCCGAAAGCCCGATCAGAATAAAAACTACTTAGTTTTCCTATTTAATGCCCAAAGAATCGGTGTACCAAATTTCAGCCTCCTAGGTAAATGGGAAGTGGAAGAATTAGTGATGAGTGAGTGAGTGAGTGAGTCACAGTCAGTGAAGGCTTTGCCTTTTATATATTTAGATTATACTGAGTCTGTTCTATTTTTGTGAATTGCTGTAATAATATTTTACTTGGAATAATTCGTTTTAAAAGAAATCATTCATCATGTATATAGAAAATAATTAGGATTCTATAATCATTGCCCTATCAACCTAGGCCCTTTTCCTGAGTGTTATGAGGTTTATGTTTTGATTTATTTTTGTGTAAACCGTAATATAATCCCCTGCCACAGCAAATCTGTAGACTGAATTTCCATTTGCCTGATTATATAATTTCACTAAAATATGTTAGAAAATTACCCTATTTTCCATATTTATTCATATTTTCCTATTTTTTCTATTTGACGGTTTGGAACTATTGTGATAGCTTTTTGTTTACAGTGCAAACCATGGATGTATGGATGGATGGATGGATGTTTGTGACAAGCAAACGCGAAAAATACTAAACCGACAAGGTTGAAATTTGGTATGATGATAGATGACATCCCCGATTAACATATTCTTACCTCAAAAATTCTTTCAGTGTCCGCCCCGGTGGCTCTGGCTCTGGACTTTCTCATGTTAACCTTATGAGTATTCATATTTAAAGAAATTAAAGAATTTTGTCAGCCGTTTCAACTGTACAAGTTGGTTCTATGATATTAAACAGCATTAAAAAGTTATAAGGCTTGCCAAACAGGGTGCAGCACTATTATGTTGTTTGTTTGAATTAATGACCACAGCTAATTTGAACCAACTAGCAAAAAAAAAAGTTGTGGTACACAATGAGAACTTTACTTTTTTCCATGGTTTAGGTGCAGTGGTAGAACATTAGGACTATGGTAGATGTGTGCTACACAATAGGATACCGTATAAGTTAATAGACCAGTTTTTTTTCAATCGTGTCCTCTCCCATAACTGCAATAATATTTATACTTATATGCCAACCCCGTACGAAGGACGGGTACTCTGCTAGTAACACAATAATACAAATACGGTATACTAATACAATAATACTGTAGGTTTCCGTAGTCTGTGGCCATAGGTTCGTCTGAACTGTCAATCAATTCTGAGAAATTAACAGTTGTAAATTCTTACTAGTCTTTTTCTAAGTTCACGTCGCACTCGCAATTAGTTCGCATGTTTTATCTAGGAAAGCAGGTATGCCCTAAGTCATAGCATTTGTAGGTTAAGTATAATAATAACAAACATGCTTATCGTAGGTTTGTAGGCATACTTGTTCAAGAATATGCCGTGGTAGGTTTTGTTTATAAATTTTATTTTTTAATTCTTGTCTAATGGCGATATTGATTTGTATTTGTGCGAAAATGTTAATTTATTTGTCAAGGGCATGAGCGGCCCTCTAGTCTATGTATGTTACATGAAGCACAACATGAAAAAGAATAAATTAAAGGAAGGTAAAAAACGGATCAGTTGCTGAAGGTCTAAATCTCGGAAGGTCTAATGAGACCTTCGACACATATTTTGCAGTTTGTACTTGATGCTGAGGGTCCCATGAATCCTGTACAAAATAAAAAAAATGTTTCATTCAAACTACAAGTTTATTACTTTTCTGAGAACCAGCCTTTATCAAGACTTCCGCTCCCACGCTAGTTGGCAACATCAACTGTGCTATATGAAAACAATAAATCTTGAGTAAATATACTGTAATGCTGAATTTTGAGGTTGTGGTGTTCCTTCGTAAACACATTCAATTATAATCTAGGAATATGTAAATTTATTGTTATACGTTAACTTTATTGATATTCGATTCGCTACAGTACTATTAAACCTAAAGGCCTAACATTTTCAATTCATGTGCTTTGTATTTTAGAGTTGGGGAAACAAAAGAACCCTGTGTACAACTTATTTATATGATATTCTCATTGGTTGCAATTTAATAAGTAGTATAGCAAAACACAAACACAAAATTTATTGAAATAAAATTAAGTCAATGTTAAGTGAATACTATTAATAAACATATTTGCGACATAAGAACATTTAATTGAAGCCTAAAAAACAGTTCGAAAGAGGCATTCTATTCTTTATACTAGTAAAAATTAAAATGAGGGTATAAAAAATAGTTTTCAAAGATCATGTTGATCAATGTACATTCATCTAGTCTTGAAAAAAATAAGTATTTAAAAGCTTACTCCAAACATAATGAAGTTTATTGGTTGTTAACAAAATGTCATCACTTTTCAAACCATGTAAACCTTATAGTTTTCCAACTGTTGCCTTGTTTATTTTTTACTTTATGATGTTTCAATTAATGGTTCAAATATTCATAGTATATATATTTCTGAACAAGAACATATACCCATGTATATAACTAATAAACGTTCCATAAGCAATTTACACGAGAGAACACTGTTCAGCAAGTAGCCGGTCATCATGAAGGAGCTTGGACGTCGTGCAACAGCGCTGAGCTATATTGGACGTCGTGCAACAGTCAAATATTTATTGGACGTCGTGGCACTTGGACGTCGTGCAACTGGCAGCGACTTTGGATGTCGTGCAAATGTTACTTTTTTACAATTCTATAGTGCGCTGTTTCACGACGTCCAAAGCTTGTAGAAAGACTATATTTTTGGCAGTTACTGTACTTTTGGACGTCGTGGCACTTGGACGTCGTGCAACAACTCAAAAATTATGTTTTGGATGTCGTGGCACTGATTAAATATTATTGGACGTCGTGGCACTTGGACGTCGTGCAATGCATCCAATTAAGCTACTTTATCAGTTAAAATATGTAATAGGGTTAGTGTTGTTACATGGGAGATATACCAGTACCATTAAATGTTGATTAGAAATTACTCTAACATCCTTGCTACAAAATTATGTTGATATGTTGATGCTAACTAAATCATGTTAATACTAACGTTAACTATTTGAAAGAGTAGGTGTTCTTGGTAAGGCCTCTAGGCCAGTAGGCGTATAGGTTTGATTTTGATAGTAAGAGAAGGCTTACCTGTAGGCCTACTGTGAGTACGGTAAGTCTTCTAAATAGGAAAAACACATTATAATCACACAAAATTAAAATATTTCACTTGTTACTTATTACATTTTCAATCAGAAAGAAAGAAGGAAAGATTGCAATAGTTGTGTAGGATGTTAGATGAATTGTCTATTGAAAAATGTAATTTTTTTCAGGTTTTATATGATCACAAGGGACCACTGCCACTTTGTCCACCAGTGCCTCCTAATTTAGGTAAGTGTATGCCAACCAACAGGGAATTTCAACATACTTTCAATCCAAAAACATTTCTCCAAGCCTTCGCCAAAGCAAACTTGTATAAATGTAGCTAGTTAGCATATGTCACATCAACTACCATAGTAAAAAATTATAAAAGAAAAAATAATTTAAACCGTAGCCCTAGCATAATCTAATCTGTGAGTCAACTATGTTCTTTCATTGGCTACAGCAGGTGCTTAAAGAAGGGTCTACTTCAATAGGTATCCAAAAAATTGTGTCAATTAGGATGTCAAGTAGGAAAAGTAGTGCTACAGAAAAAGAAAACTTCCCCCACCATTTTCTCACTCTAAATACGTACATTAATAAGATCTAACAGTAATTCTTTAGACAAATGAACAATATATCAGAGATGGCAGTGGAACAGGGTTTTAATGTGCTTCCCACACTCCACTCTAAGTACCTAATTCAACCTATAACGAGTAATTTTTAAATTAATTTTAGGACTTGAAGAAAAAGATTTTTTTCTCATCAGTAAAGAGTCAAGACCGTAAAAACGTGAATGTTGCAGTTGGTCCGATGAAAGTGATTAAGGACATAGTTCCCGCTGAGGACATTGCTCGTCTGTTCCCGGACCTCCAGCCTGGTGGACAGTGGCAGCCCCGGAACTGCACGGCTCGTGACCACGTAGCCATTATTGTGCCGTACCGTAACCGCGAGGCACATCTGTATATACTTCTGCGCAACCTACATCCTATGCTGCAGAGGCAACAAATCGACTACGGGATATTCATCATTGAGCAAGCAGGTGGGTGATGCACAAAATACATCAGTCAACAAAAGATGAGCAAAATTTCATGGATTAGTGGGGATGGACAGGATTGAACTATGAGTTTGGGATGGGATTTTCTTTCTTCCTAATTTTCGATACGGGACGGGACAGGATTTTTTTTATACGTGCAAAAAAGGCATACGAAAAAATTATGAGTAACTTAAACATCATTGCGGATATAAAAATAATAAATAAAAAAAAATTGTTTGCCTATGTGGGACTGATCTACAAAACTAACATTATTGGGTAAATTACACAGATACTGTATTGCAAAAACCTTTGACTAAAAAATTTCAGATTTTGTGCAATGTAACTGTGAAACATTAATCTCAATATAAAATGTCCACAACTGACCACTAACGGGTATCCAAACAGACTATCACTGCATTTTTTTAAACTGTAGAGTTTAAGGCCCGCTATTGCGGCACAATCGTCATGCCCACGGTCACGGCGCCATAGTGAACTTGTCCCGCAGTCACTTTGTCTTTGTCAACATGACTCAATTACGCGGCCCCATCGTGAACTTGTCTTATGGTTATGGTGCCATTGTCAGCATGTCCCAAGTTCGCGGCAACATCGTCGACATTTCTCGTGCGCACGGCACCATGGTTGACATGTCCTGTGTTCATGGCACCATCTTCGACATGAATCGTGGTCTTGGCACTTGTCTCGCAACCCTGGAGACATAATCATTGTCAGTCGCCATACCGACGACCAGATCAAATCCCGTCATGAGAAAATCCCGATTCAAATGTAATCCTATTCCGATGATGGAAGAAATTTTCACCGAAATTTTCAGACCTTTCCATCTACATTAGCCTTACTGTTACTTTTCAACTTACAATGGTCTACTTGTGTTGGTTGTATCAGCCACATACTAAAGATTAATTTTATTTACAAATCGTTGTAGAGTTTGTTCATCTGGATAGATATAGTGACCTAAAATTAAATTTTTTGACTAGCAGACACTATGGGTAAGAGTAGCCAACATACTTCCTCGCTTTTCTGATATCACCCATGTATTTTCTTCTTATTGGTTAAATAGTGGACTTTGTCCTCCGAACAAAAACATTGAGCAGTTGATGAACTAAGAGGGAATACATCATACTGGGTGATGTGGAGAAAACGAGGAAGTCATCCATTATGTTGGCTAACATTGCCCATTGCATCTGCTAGTCACATTTTTAACTGTAAGTCACAAGATCTATTCAGATGAAAAAACTCTGCTAAAATTATTAGTAAAACTTATCTTTAGCATGTGGCCAATATAACCGCAAAAGTAGCAATTAGGCTAAGTATTAAACTGTACTTATCTTTTGTGAACACCCTGGACATGTTAATACTCCAGAGGAAACAACATTCTTAAGCAAACAAGATTTAGCCAGTCAATGGCTCAGTCGGTAGCGCCATGGATGTCCGGCCCAAGACAGCGATGTCCTGGGTTCGTATCCTGGTACCTCTCAGTTCTTGGTACAGGCCTCTGTGGCCCATGTGGACGGGCAAATGCAAGGTAAAAGCGCCAACCTCTTTAAAAAAAAAAAAAAATATATCTAGTACGATTATTTCTAATTTTTGTTTACTATTCCATACACAATCGAATCTTAATTGAAACTGTAATTTCGCTCTTTTGCAGGAGAAGGGCCATTCAACCGAGCAATGCTGTTCAATGTCGGGTTTTTGGAAGCTCTTAAGGTCCGAGACTTTGATTGTTTCATATTTCACGACGTTGATCTCATTCCTGAAGACGATAGAAATTTTTATACATGTCCAGAGCAACCTCGTCACATGTCCGTAGCTGTTGATGTTTTTAGTTACAAGTAAGTAAATTTTCTCTTTTGTAAAATCGAATAGTAGGTTACCCCCATAACAAGTATGCAGTTAAGCCTGCAGCACATTGAAAGTTCTTGTTGGATGAACACTCCAACTATGTACTTGTCTTGTATGAATAAAGATATTTTAATTTGATTTAATTTGAAACAAACATAGTAAAGCATCCTATCTTTTCAAGTAAAGATTTTTTAATTTTGGAATGTAAAATAAAAAAATTGTATTAGTTTGGTTGCTAAACATAAACACAGTTTTATTTGTAACTACATATCATATTTTAATTAGGGACATTAGTTATAAGATTTGGCTCTATTCAATGTATTCATTTAAATACCAAAAATGAAAAAGATTATTTGATTTGAGTAAAGACCCTTTGTCAGTGGCATTTTGTAACAAAGGTTGACTGTAAAAACATTAGAGGAAAAACAGCTCAAATCCTCTACATTCTTGTTGATACATTGGGTTTAAACCTTTCACTATTTCAATGAAAACTGAGATGCCAACAATTAGATTTGCAAAATACCTAACTCTCTAACATTCTCTTTTTACAATTCTACTTATCACGACACTGCCGCCACTGACACTGCTGCTTACTGAAAATCTGTCAAGTTTCTCACAATTTGGGGTTTCCAGTTATCTTAAAACTCTTTAGACTTAATTCCCTTTGGTATTTAGATGTTATTATTTCATTTACTTTGTTTTTTCTTAGACAATCTTATTGTATAAATTGTTTTGTTATTATCATGGACAATTGGTCTGTTCCTTGATCTGAGGCAGTGATGTACTGTGGTATGAATCACATGTACTAAGCTAGACAATGGCGAATACAGTGATAAAGTAGTATTTACTTGAACCAGCAATGTCTGGCTTATTACAAGCGTAATTGATCTCAAGACGTTCCCATTTTCGGCAAAAGTTTTCCTAGTATTCATATTAGTAGAGGTTTAACTTAAAGTGATAAGTTTCTGCGCTCCAGATTTCTGTTCTCATATCGTCTCCTTGGACCTACACCACTCACCAACATCTCTTCACCTTCCTTTCAAGCCCAGTAACCCACGGATACATGCACTGCCTCTGAGAAATGATGGGTCAGTAGCAATATTAAAATTTACATATTCAATACTCCGACTAAACATTTCATGTAAAACAATTTACAGGTTGCCTTATGCAGATCTGTTTGGGGGAGTGAGTGCCATGACCAGGGAACAGTTTGAACAAGTGAATGGCTTCAGCAACATGTTCTGGGGATGGGGAGGAGAGGACGACGACATGTCGTCACGTCTGAGGAACTCCGGGCTACACATATCCCGCTACCCTAACAACATAGCACGCTACACCATGCTCACTCACCGCAAGGAGAAAGCCAACCCCAAGAGGTGAATGTCGTGATGTAAATCAGTTTTTTTTTTTACTTGGTTTTTATAGGGAAGAGCAATACTACACTTTTAGTTTGGAGCAGGACAGGATTTTATGTTCCAGATTTTTTTGGATGGGAGTGGGACAAAATTTTCTCCCCTGGGAAATTAGCTTTAGTAATCATAAATTGTATAAACACCCATCACAATTTCATAATGACTATAATTCATGATCATCAATTGAATTACCTGCCAGTGACGAAATCTTGAGCAGTTCTGGCAGTCAGGTAGACATATATCATCATCACCTGCAATTTACCTTGTGACATCTCTCAAAGAAAAACCTAATCATCGTCACTCGCGGCGTGGCAAAATTGCTGACAATTGGAACGAATCTCAACCTAAGAAAATTTTAATGCCTTCCCGAAGATTGCAAATATATTTTTACAAAAAATTGACTGAAATTTCATGACTTGTCGATCCCTAGTATTTTGTACAAGCTTGAAATCACCTATGTAAGTAACTACACATATTTTTATTCCAAAGAGTTAACAAGGGAGGCAATACTCAGTGTCGAGCAGATCTGATTTCTCGGTAACCAATATTTTTATGGTAAAAAAGTATACTAGTTGGTAGTGTCTAAAAGCTATTTTTGAGACTCAAAGTGTTAAAACAATACAGTAAGTATTTAATCAAAATAGGCTATCCTCTTGCGGGACTTCGGTCCCTGACGTTCTGGGTTCAAATCCCGCCAATCACAAATAAAATTTATTAAAGAGATAATGCCACAACCGCCGTGGCCTAGCCTGAAGTAATGTATACAATTTTTAAAATTTCCCTATTTTCTTCCATACTTTATTTTCTTTTCCCTTACTCTAACAGGTACGAGAAGCTGTACAACAGCCACAAACGCATGAGTGTGGACGGCATCAACAGCATCCAGTATAAGAGGCTTTCCCTCAAGTTTGGGAAATTATTCACCTGGGTGTTGGTAGAACTGGCTGGCGGCAGCTGATGGTCGGCCTGGGCTCGTCTTTGGGCCCCGCAGCATCTACTGTGATATTCCTCCACACTACGTAATACGTGATATCGATTAGTCGTTTGCAGGTATCATGCAGTGTTTCAGTTTCCGACATTGATAATAAGGCTTTAGAGTTTGGTAGCTTCAAAAGGAAATATTGGTTGTTGAAAAGTGAAGTATTTCTTTGAATTGTTAGTTAGTATTTTAAATATTGAGACTTAACTGGAGGTAAAGTGATTTTATACGTGACGTTTTGTCGACTTCTTAGTTTTAGTTTTTTTTTTTTTTACTGAGAAACTTTATTTTTATGGTTCAGTTGATTAAACTTAAGTTTTTACAATGTTGTAACTTACAAGTTACTATTGGATCAAGCAATTCACATGACATGTTTAATTATTTTTTCAGGGTTTTTAGGAGTACAGGATCTATTGAATAAGTTATAGTGTATTTTAGGTATCTTTTACTGAATTTAATTCATGATAAATAAGATAGGTAAACATAATGGCAAGACTCAGTGGCGGTCCCAGAGGGGGGGGGGGTGGGAGGGATATATTCCCCCCGAAATATTTTATATTTAATTAGCTAACTTAAATACTATTAGCTTGAGCATATTTTAGAGCTCATATGCGTATAAAAATAAGTTTTTAGGCTTTAAATTTTAAATTTTTTCCAGGGGGGTTCTCCTTTCTGGGGGATATTCCATACCCCCAGGTGATCATCCCCCCCCTCCCTAAATGTAATCCTGGGACCGCCACTGGCAAGACTCGAGTGGAGCATATGAGTTACCAACACTTCTATCTAAGGAAAATATTGATTTTTGCCCTTGGTCTATATTAATACTACAACTTGAAACAAATTAAACAAAAATTAAATTAAATTTTTTTAAATCTTGTGAGCTTTTCAGATTGTTAAATAGTTTTGCTTTAACCCCTTAATGATTTATGTTTTCTCGGTTATTATTGAATAACTTTGTAAATCTTACAGCACTGCAAAAAATTAAAAGAGTTCATGAAATTTGTAGATATGAGATATATTTGCAACTAAGGTAATGAATACTTGATAAAGTATTTATATTTAATACAAATTAAATGATTAAATATTTACGTATAATTTACGTATAAACTAAAGCAGCAATTTTGTTTACGGATTTAAAAAATAAAAGCTAGTTATTTTTGTCTGGAAATGATTGTTTGTTTTACTTTATGTAGGGTATAGCTTTTTTCTTAAATTGAGCTTACTGTTCTTATTTTTTACATATTTAGCGTTCTTTTTGCCATTTTAGTTTAAGTTTTTCATGACATAACTAGTCTTTCTTTAGAAAATTTGCACAAAAAATGCATCTTTAAGCTCAAGAAAGAGTTGGGTAACATTGCCACTTTTAAGTGTGATTTAAAAACTAGTCATTTGACTGTTATGTTAGGGGAGGGTTAAAATTTTAAGGCTAACGGCAACAGTTATTCAAGACATTATGAAATAATTTTATCGGCAAATTTCTATTGAGTATACCAATAATAACATAATTATTGGGCCTATTAAAAGTTTTCTAAAATAGAAAACGCCACACCAAAAACATTTATCAGAACTGTATAAATATTTTAAAGATTACTTCTTAACTGAAAAATGTATTAAATACAGTAGAACTCTTAATTATTGGAATCAATTGGTACCATACCACATTGGGATTTTATTGTGGGTTTTTTAGTGAGTAGTCTGACAATTTTCAGGAGTCTCACACTACAGGCTGGCTACCTGTGTGCGTAAAAGCATTTTCCCTCCTCTCCCTAAAAAAAAAAAAAAAACCACATTGGGATCCTTATTAAAATTTGGGGTATTTAATTGAATGTAGGCAGAGTCGAGCCGAGCTTCTATCATCGCAGGTGTCTGCAAATATTTCACGATCAAAATACTCACCCTTTTGCTGCGATTGTGTAGACGATCATGATGTTCTGTGACCGCAGGAGGTGTTCAGGATTTTGCCATGATCACGGCTTCTACTTTCTTAATTAACAACTTTTATTCTTGGAGATGTTTTTTTAGTTTTAAGTGAAACGCAAGCTTAAATGGTTTTAACTCTTTCCTACTTCGAGTTCTACCAGTCATGAAATCTATTGATTCCTCGATTCAATGTTAAGTTAGTTTTGTAACTAATTATATTACAACAGGTAAAACTTTGTTTTTAGTTAGTGTGATACAAATGTTATTTTATGTGCAATCTTAGGACAAATTTTACTCATATTTGTAAGATATTTTTGTTTGTAGGATTGTTGAATTGAATTAACACAAAGAAGCAGACTTAAATGATGTGATTGTTTCATGTGTGTATACTGTATAATTATCTGTTTGCTGTTATACATTATGTTTACACTTGTCTGAATTTTGTTTAAAATGTTGTGTTAGTTTCTGCTACTTATTCTAGTTTGAGTGCCTGGGACTTTCTAATGACAATTTCTTCATTATTCATACCATTAAACATTCAACTCCTTGTCCCTCCCCCTTCTACCAGAATTCTTTGTCGCATTCTCGTCTACTCAAGTTGTAAATATTATTTATATCACTGCTCATTGTATTATTTTTATGAGCATTTTAAGTATTGAACAAGGTCGGTAAACAAAATACAAAATATAATTTTTCCATAAATTTGTTCGTCCATGTGCTGTGTATTGTATTAACTTTGTTTGGATCTTGTTCTATAGCAAGGGGTCATTGAATATCTAGGGATGTAAGGTGTTAAACGTTAACTGAGGATTTTTGTATGTTAGTGGTATATCTTTTTATTTGTAAGCTAAGTTTTTTTCTCATTCAAACTTATAAAAGACTGTGATTCTTATATTTTAAGGGTTCTCATAATTAATGAGTTATTGTGTAGAAATATGTTTAATCAGATAAAAACACAATACCACAAATTTTCTTATCTGTATCTTTTACTTTTTTTCTCATTAAATTACACAATAGAAGTTTTTATGTAAGCTACATTTTGAAAAAAAAATATATGGATAGTTATTCACAGTACTAAATGTTTAATTTGTAATAGAATTTAAGTTTACAAAATTGTAAAATACTTAGTACAGGATATTAGACATTATTATCAGGCAGGCTGCAATTTTTGTTCTTTGTGAAGAGCACCAAAGGGGGTGCAGTAGAACTCCAGACTATCCCAATCTTTCTGTAATAAATTCAGATAATCGGCTATTCGGACTGTTGGGAGTTCCATTATACCTAGTTGTTTTATATAAAGATATTATTTATTTTCTAAAGCACAATTGATTATATTATTATTGACAATATGTCAAGGTATCTTGTTTATCTCATGCTTTTCTATTGTGATAGTAGTTGAAATCTCAAGACAATTTAGTGTTTATGCGAACACAATTTTGTTAGAGTAATATTTATGTGTATGTTGATGTTAAATTTTTTATAAAATATTTTTTAAGACTGTTGTATCTTCATTATTGTTAAGTTTGTCTTGGAATCTCAGCATTATCTTATGGATCAAAGGGACCCAAGTCAAGGAATGTCCTTTTTTCTCAAAAGTATGCATAATTATAACATAGTCCTGGTCTTGCACTGGCATTTCTACATAAACGTAACACATTGTTAAATCAAAACCACTTTTAGACTTAATTTTTACTGTAAACTGCATCCCCATAAAGAGATTTAACCTTAACCATTATAATAGTTTTTGTAAACGATTTCCCCTACAGGAAACTAAACTTGAGACCCGCGCTTTAGTCTTGACAATATTCTAAAACTTAACAAAATGGTCCCGGGATCAAATTCCACCAATCATCAATGGATTTGAAGGTGGAACATAAAAATAAAAACCCCTTGTGCAAGCAATTTAAGTTGTTTGTGGATCCCTCCTTGTTGATCTTGTTTGCATTTACACTTATCTCAGGATTGTTAAGGTTTCTGCTAACAAAGCTCTGTTTCTTGATATTAACATAACAATGTAATTTAAATAGTTTTACTGAATGTTTATTTTCATCGATAAAATTATGTTCCTATGATCTGAACAAAGCCATTTTAGCTGAACTGGGTTCAACTTCAAAGTACTTATATAGTTTGTTTTTCCTATTCGACCTATGATTTGTTTATTATTTTTTTACTATAATTTTACTGGACCTCACACAAAACAGGGTACTGTAGTATTTAGTTTAGGTTTTATATTTTTGTATCTTTTGTATATATTGTATGGCAGGGCGTTTATTTTTATCAGATCTTTATTAAGGTTTGTAAAGCTTTTATTTAAAGGCACAAAACATCTAACACAACTTTTTATTGTTATTGTTTATTTGGCGATAAATAATATGAAACATGTTTTAAGATGTTTTTGTTACACCTATATAGGCACAAAACTCACAATAATTTATTTTTTTATTCATCAAAGACGATATAGTCAAGAGTGTCAGTAACTAAGCAATATTTGAAATGCTCGGTTATAACTTTTAAAATGAATTTATAACCAAATTACTTAAATAGATCAACCTCAGAGATATTTTTGTAGTGTTTGACAAAGTTACAGGTGATAAATGTCCTTAATTTTGAATTTACTTGTTTAAATAATACACACACATTATTTTATCACAAGAAAATACAATGTTATAACTAGGACAACTTAAATGTATGTGGATTAGAATTTAGAAATACAAACTGATGATTTCATAATTTTTAGTATAACAATCATGACAATAAATAACTAATCTGAGTCAGTTTTCCAATTGCATTAAATTTAAATCCAAGCATTAACTAAACAAAATTATTAAATAAGGCCTACTCAATGTAATTTGCTAAATGAAATTTGATATCAATAATAATAATATTAAGGAGTAATATATAAAAAAACAATTAAAAATTGCTAAGATCATACCAGTTCATAAAAATAATTCTAAAAATGATGTTTCTAATTACCGACCAGTATCAGTTCTTCCCACAATTTCAAAAGTATATGAAAAAGCAGTTTACAACAGACTGATAGAATTTTTAAGCAGATCAGAGCAAATTGATAATGAACAGCATGGTTTCTGGGCTGGAAGATCAACAGTTACTGCAGCAATTAGTCTCATTGAAGCCATAATAGATTCTGTTGATAAAGGCTTAAATACTGCTGGAACATTTATGGACATGTCGCAGGCCTTTGACAATGTAGATCATATGGTATTGCTAAACAAGCTTAAGATAATGGGCATTAAGGGTGTTGCACATAAATGGTTCACTTCATATTTGGAGGATCGCTATCAATTTGTAGAACTCTCTTATTTATCAAAAAACAATTGGATACAGAAGACAAAATCAGATTTACTACAGACGTATCTAGGGGTCCCTCAGGGTTCTATTTTGGGCCCTATTTAATTTATATGCTACATTAAAAACCTCCCAAATGCATTGACTGAGTCAGCCAGTATATTAAGTATATATGCTGATGATATAAATCTTAAAACTTCGGGTAGTTCAATTACTGATATTAAAAATTCTACTGAATTGGAGCTCAAACATATTGAACAATTCTTAACAAACAA